AGCTTTCTGCTCAAACTCATGAGTGTCTAATAAGGTCTACCTGCACACATGGAGCTTCTTATCATCCTTTCTATCTAAGGGACAAATACATAACACAGAAAACCTCATTCACTACCTAGAATAATTTACCTTGTCTTTTAATCCTAAATGTGGATAAACAATGATCTTCAAGTATATAAGAGTAAAGTAGCAGCCTGGAAAAAAAAGATTGAGATAAAAAATCAGAACTGTCCTCAAATGAAATAGAAATAATTCAAGAAATGGATAAGAATTTAAACTAAACCAAAACAACAACAACAACAAAAACTCATATATCCTTGAAGAGATATGAGAACTAGTGCATTTATAAATTAAAGATAAGATTCCAAGAAAATTATAATTTAAAGAATAACAAAGAATTCTAAGGAATTAAAGTTTTGATAACCAAAAACTTTATAAAATATGAAATTAGATACGTTTCCAGGACATAAAACAGAAAGACTGACATGGAAAACAGAAGTAAGAAAATTAGACCTACAAAAGCAATTCAGGAGGCCAAACATCAAGCTAAATGGGATTCTAGAAAATTAATAAAATGGAGGGAAGAAGATTATTAAAGAAATAATAGAAGAAAATTTCTTAGAGCTGAGATTGTAAGATCCAACAAGTGCTGAGCAGCATGAATTTTTTCAAAAGGCACATTTACACACATTCTTGAGAAATTTTAAAACAGAAAAAGTAGTAAGAACTAAAAGTCATTTAGAAAGAGAAAAATGGTTGACCTTCAAATAGGATTGACAAATTTAACAAATAAAAATACAAGACTCACAGATTTGCATTTCAGACAATGAAAAATGTGTTAATGTAAGCATACCTGAAATAGTGCATATTACATGAGATATACTTATGTTAAAAAATTTGTTGATTATGTTAAATTTAAACTAAATTTGGCAACTCTATAGTCAAAGCACTAGAATTAGGCTTACATCACAGAGCTAATCAGACACGCTGGCAATGTGCCATCTATATTCTGAGGAAAAATTATTTTGGAGTCAAATTTAATACCAAGTCCAACTGTCAAAGAATATTTACCTCCTATAGATTCATTCTTCAGAAGCTTCTTGAAGCTATATTCCAGCCCAATGAGGGTTAAAGTCAAGAGAAGACTCATGATGAAAGATGATGCAATTAACCAGGAATCTAATGAAAAGAAATCCCAAAATGAAAGCTATTTATCAGATCTGGAAAAAATCAGCTCATGTTATAAGAGAAAACATAGGCTTCAAAAACAATATCTTTAAGAAGTAGAATCATCTGGACTCCAGACAGAGTAGGCAAGAAGCAAGGAGATATCAGTAATATTCTAAGGAAGACATATTTTTAATGTCAACCACCAAAAATAAAAGATAATTAAAAAGTCAAAAGCAAAGTAAACAGTGGTTCCATGGAGAAAATAAAACTATGCCATAATTTTGATGAGAAGGAATCTGAGAAAAAAGAAATGATTTAACCATAACTAGGAACATTTTTCTTCAGGTAATCCCAAGATTGAGACATAAGAACTAGTACAGTTCTTCCTTCAGAATAGACCAATTAGTCCCAAGTTTTGATTCTAAAAGTTAAAATTCCAATAAGCACCACTTATACTACTATGACTATACTCCAGCTATGGAGTTACATTGTTATTTTCCAACTTGAAAATACTTGTGCCAATGTTTAGACCCTGAATGACCATGAATTTGCTGAAACAGATGCAAGAGTCTGTTTCAATGAAGTACATCAATTTCTGGGGAATAACTATTTTATGCTATATCCTTCATACATATTAACGCCAATACATAAATTGTCATTTTAAAAATGCAAATCTTTTTCAACTTTTTTTTATTAAATAATAAACAGGTAGATTGTGTATACCTTAATGCATTTATGGGGTACAATGTGCTGATTTCATATACAATTTGGAATGCTTAGAAACTTGTTTGATATTTTTCACAAGTTAGCTGCAGGTTGAGAAAATACAACATTAAAAGGATAGCTCCATGTTCAAAAATAGGAACCACTGACCTAAACCAATCTTCCTTCCCTAGAATGTGGTAAGATGTGTAAATAGCAGGTGGCTCACTAAATGCTTATAAATTCAAAAAATCAGGCATCCCTATCCCAATAAATAATAAAATTCTTCTGGATGCCTCAGAAAATCAGGGTAGGAAATCACAGCTCACAGAGTCTACCCAGCTTGAAAGCTGCTCTGGGGTAACCGGGAGGCCTCACCCCAGGGCTCTTCTTGATCCAACCAAACAGCCACACTCATCATCACCTGCTTAAGTCAACTAATTGCTACAATCTATTAAAACCCTTAATCTAGAAATGGGAATGGTCCATTATGCCAGCAACATTTAGACCACAGGACAACGCCAACCTCAGCAGACTCAATACTTTTATGATTATGGCCTTGAGTTCTCATTTTCACCTAACTGACAACAGCATTTCCCTAAAAAAGATACATGAGTTGTAGTGTCCAGCCCCAGCTCCTGTCCTCCTGTTAGCTCCTATAATTGTTGTGCATGTTGAATCAAATAAGACAATTAGTTGCCAGCCTGTACCTTTTTACATAGATAGATATTCAGTGATTTGTTCTTACAGAACTACAATATCTCTTTGAAACCTGGAGTAATCACAGACGGACACCTGACACTCTTGTTAGTTCCTGATATGGTATGGTACTTACTCCTTGACTTACATTAAAAACCAAACTCCCAAGGACCTTCCAACTGTTTAGTTGTGACAAAAAGGAAAACAGAGTACAAGTTCATTTACCCTCAAGGATAATAAAGATCTTATGAACTTTCTAGGAAAGGTTAATATTCAAGAGAGTGAACACCAAGAGAAAATTCATCCATGATTCAGATATTGAGCACCAATGCAACACCTAAAAAACAAGAATCAAAACCCAATCTCTCTCTCATGGAGATTACAACCTACCAGAGGGAGTTAAGACATACATGGCTGCATGCCTACTCACTGGTGCAAACAACAATTGCCTCATGATTCTAATAATGCCTTTAAGTAGAAGCAAGAAGATTCAAGGAAGACCTTGGCCATCAAGAATGCTTTTGATTTTGGTTAGCAAAAAATGAGAAAGATTTATAATCAATTTGAAGACAATTTAATTTTTTAAATAAATAAAGGATACAAGTGGAAATTACAATAAGAAATAAAGATTGTAAGCAAAAATTTTTTTTACAAATGAAAAGGAAAGGAATGTCACAAGGCATGGATCATCTGGCTAACACTCAGGATTTTCATATATCTCCTTAGAGAAAGTCTTTTTTAGGTAATAAAGGAATTTTATAGCTCAAGTTCTCGTGTTCTGACTTTAAGATGCAAGAGTTTAAAAAAAGAGTTTACCTTGAAGTGATGGCTACTTAATGACTTTGCTGTCTTCTGATATAAA